CTTACATTAAAAGTGATGTGTTTTTACGCAGCTCTACATCCTCGGCAGGGTCCTTGAGGCTGCATTTTATCTTCTTTGCATTTTTCAGTAGCCTAGACCAGGGGTCCCCAACCTTTTTTGCCCCACGGACCGGTTTATGTCAGACAATATTTTCAGGGACCGGCATATCAGGTGTGGCGGAAATAATACAACAAAATAATATGGTATGAGCTGCATGAAAACTGTGGTGTTTTCGAAATATAATAATAAACACAAGGAGCGTCTAATCTGGCCGCAACACTCTGATCGCTATGGTAATGTTTAATGCCTTCAAAATACGATACAATGCAAATTCAAAGTGCATGAAAATGACCACTCACCACAGCCCCGAGCTTGATTTTCTGCAACCAGACGGTCCCATCTCGGGGTAATAGGAGACAATGACACCTCACGTGTGTGTTTTGCGTCAAGTCTACTTCGTAATTTTGTTTTAGTCGCCGTTGCTGCAGAAAAGCCCCGCCTCACACAGGTAGCATGTCGGAAATAGCAACAGTCCTTCTGTGGTGATCTCAGAATATTCAGCCATAACTTTAATCCAGTTGTTTCGAACGTACTTTTAAGGCCGCTGTCATTTGATCTCCAGCAGTTTTTTTACTCATTTTGCGAGCTCTGGTGTTTTGTTTTTAAGCGGAATCGGTCACGTGACGGGGGAAAGCGTGGCTTGACGTGTGTCAAGCGTGACACAGACGGATGTAACGGAGAATCCGGTAATTTTTCAAAATAAAACATCTTTCGTATTCCGAAATAAAACGGAATTAAGGCAAGTTCTTTCTGTGCGGCCCGGTACCAAATGCCCTGCGGACCGGTACCGGTCCGCGGACCGGCGGTTGGGGACCCCTGGCCTAGACGGCATATAGTGTACATATAGCATTATGCTTCCACCTACAGGTCAGTCTTGGTACTACAGCACACAACAAGTTTGGGGGAGGAGACTTGAGTGGAGGTATCGTCCTATGTGGGGTGTGCTGAGTTGATGAGAGCAGTAAAAAAAAAAATACTGCATGGTGACTTAATTTTTTTGTCGTGCATTGTGGTCTCTGAAATTCAAACCATCGCTAAAGATGTTAAAAATGAGGAGCCTTTGTGTGGAGACAGACGAAACTCTCCCGTTTTGCGTTTTGGAGCAAGGGGGACAGTTGGTCAATTTCTTTAACAAAAGTGAAAAAAAATGTGTATTTATGTTTTTTAGCGGGCCAATTTCTTGTTCACGAAGGTTGACAGAACCATAGCATGTTTGATGGCCTCAGTGCACAAAAGCAAGGTCCATAAAGGACCGTTGGTTAAAAAGATCAACATCATTACCATTGTTCCCCGTATGCACTCCCGGAAGCCACCCACCCCCACCTGAGTGACCCCGGGGCCAAAGCGAGGTCATAGATTTGCAGGACACATTGATGATGATAGACAGGCAGGGTCAAGGCCTTTGTTTGTGACAAGAAGCGGAAATAGCGGCTCGCGTTCCGGTAATAGATGAAAGATGAGAGCACGGAACGGTGAGGGGGATGGGGAGGCGGGGGTTTTTTGGGCAATCGATCTGTTTGTGTTTTCGTGGAGGAAGGAGAGGTGAACGGGTTTGTTGGCCTGTGTCCCGGTTGAAGTGCTGAGCCAGTGGCTGTGTCTTCTACTTCTGATCAGGCCCTTCAATTAAGCTGCATAACTTTTATGATCCGCTCATTCTGTCTAGAAGGACAAAATTAAAATAAAATATAGTAAAAACCTATGTGTGCCCTGCGATTGGCTGACAACCAGTTCAGGGTGTCCCCCGCCTACTGCCCGAAGACAGCTGGGATAGGCTCCAGCACCCCCCGAGACCCTTGTGAGGAGAAAGCGGGTCGGAAAATGAATGACTGAATGAATGGATGGATATCATAAAAACTCAGGCAGCCACAGGACTCGGAAGATCCCAAATCATCAAGACGATTCACTCTGGCTCTCTCTTGTGGCTTAGAGAGGTACTGCAATATCATGTTTACAGCATGACCGCCTTCTCACAGTCGCACAAAGAGAAAATGTTCTACAAAGGCCTTTATTTCATGAGTTACACAAAATTGGAAAAAAATAAAATGATTTTAATCAGTGACACTTGTCATTTTCCATTGAACTTGATTAACAAATGCATGCTCCAGTCAGTTTATTAGTGGTATTATACCTTTCGTTTTTCAGTACAAAACCTTGATCGTCTTCATTGTAGTGGACTGCCTGACGTTGTCTCTGAATAATTACCACATTAAACCTTCCAGGTAAGCCCAAAATAATTTAGACATTTGCAATATTTTCAGTTGTAGTCAATTTGTGTTAGTTGAATGGGTGATGTCTGGTTGGAAATATCACAAAAAGTTAAAAAAAAAAAACACAAAAAAAAAAAAGATCAAGTTGTGATGCAATGATCTATTCATCTTTTTATATATTTGTGTGTGTGTGTGTGTGTGTGTGTGTGTGTGGTTGTGTGTGTGTGTTTTAATTGAATTGTCTTCACCCAATGCTTCAGAATCTTTGTCATTTCCAACGACGTAAAAACAAAATCACTTTAAAGAACAACTTTCCCAGGTTATCAGTAATTTTAGCATTAACAGTATAAATAGGAGCATCCATATGGGTGACTTTGGAGTCAATCAATCAATCACGATAAAGGCCAAAAGCAGAATAGCAAGTACACGTTATGTGGAAGTATAATATATGTTGTATACAGGTATATACTGTACATGTGCATTTGGGGGGTGGGGGGTTCAAAGATTGAAGGGGAGGAGAGTAAGGCAGAAAAGCAGTGAAGCTGGGTTATTTCAATTACATTTAGTGCCTTTGTCTTAAGCATCAACAAGAGCAACAACACAAACAAAAATGTGTTGTGGGGAGAGTTTCTTCTGTTGCAACAATGCTACTTTCACAACAAATGGTGTAAGCTTTTCTAACTGTGCCATTTTTTTTTTTTTTTTTTGTGGATAAGAATTATTGTTGCACCAGAGAAGTTATCTGCCAAACATACACATTGTGATCGGTCATTTCTACTCTAATGCTGTTTTACACGATATTAAGGCACTAAATGTCTTCGGGTCCATTGAACCTTGCATTCACTCGAGTCCAACAAAGTCTCATACATCTTATAAATAAAAGGGATTTAATAACACAAAAGTCGACTCAATAATAACCTGAGGAGAGTATGTTGAACTAGGAATGCATTATATTTACAACAGGGTAATGGTTATACATTTGCGTGTCGTGCATTAGCAAATGATTTGTAGAATCAGTGGCAAGTCCCATCCGTAATATCAGTGTGTGTAAACAAGATGAAAAACAGAGTGTGGCTGTGTGTTATAAACAAGTAGCTTTTATCTTTCAGAGAAGAAATGGAATACGGCAGATAAGTACGATTCAATAGCACCTGGCTTACATAAGCAACCCATTTAAAATGAACACTAGTTTACCAGTTTGGGGGCAAGTACTCAGTGCAGCGGTAAACTGGGCGCCATTCTTTGTTAGTAGAAGTGTTCCGCGTGGAAAAAGAGGCACTTGGTCTTTGTTTTTGGTTTTTGTTCCGGTTTGCAAACGTTCAAACCTCCCTCTGCGTTCACACATGCAGGGGAATAGCACCATCCTCGGGCGTTAGGAAGTTTTAAAGCCAAGTGAACGGGATCGCAAGTCAGGCAGGGTTTATGTCCTCTTCATGCACACCTGACAGCGGCTTATGTGTGTTCGCAGATTTCCCGCTTTTAGCGTCGTCGGGACGGGTTTCCTGGAGATCAAGAGAGAGCAAAACGTTGATACCATTCAACTTATGGAAAAATCAAATGGGTAAATTGATATTGGAATATATCGTATCGGCATCCCTGTTTTGCACAAAACTCACGAAACGATATTGTTGATAATTATTATGGTATCACGATACAGCAAATATAACTTTTTAATTTCCGTAAATATCATGAAATGTCACTAATGGTTTTACTGTGACATACAACATCAGTGGTGAAATATTGGCACGATATTTTGATTTATATATTTTATATTTATATTGTTATTGTTGGCAAAATCTGGCTCCTTCCCTGCAAGAAAGGTAACATTCCACGTCCCTAGAACAAGCTTCTACATCTGAGGATCAGACCGCCAAGGTCCTCGCCTTTGGCCCCCGCCCAGCTCACTTTGCACCTGACCCCTTTGGCCCCTCCCATAGGTGGTGAACTCGTGGGAAGGGCGACCCACATTGTCTCTTTGGGCTGAGCCAGGCTGGGCCCCATGGGTGTAGGGCCCGGCCACAAGGTGCTCGCCAGCGAGCCCCACCTCCAGGCTTGTCTCCAAAGGGATCCCCAGTGACCCACGTCCAGGCAAGAGAAACCAAGATCCATATATTTCATTCATCATAAGGGGTCTTTTACAGCCGTGCTTTGTCTGATCCCTTACCTAAGACCGGTTTACCCTGGGTGACCCTGCCAGGGGCCTAAAGCCCCAGGCAACTTCGATCATTGGGACACACAAACCCCTCCACCACGGTAAGGTGACAGCTCACGGAGAGGGGTACACTTTACGTTGCTGGAAATGTATCCTCGCAGTATTATGGTTGACAAAATGCACCATCATTACTGTTGACAGTCCAAATCAGTTTCTCACAAAATATTGTGAGACAATATCACAAGTTAATCTCTAAAACGGCATGTGTGTGAAGTCCATCTGACTTACGTAAACATCTCACTGTCTTCAATTGTCGCAAGCCAGAAGCTGTAGGAGTTGGCGTAATAGTTACAGGTTCCTCGGCCGTGGCACTCGATGAACGGAGCGCTTCGGAACTCCTCCAAGCAGGAACCGGGAGAGGCCAGAGCTTGACCTGAGCCCTCAGCACCTGCACTAGTGTGCTACAAAAACCCAGACACATAGAGAATATGGTCACGGGGGCCGTATGGGTAGCCTGTATGCTTTTGAGTTTTCAGGGCTGACATAGTTTTCGTTAGTGTTTGACAATACAGACATTTTTTTGTCGCATCACACAACACAAAATAGACCACACAGTCGGTCGGCTACCAACATGACAGACAGAGACGATGACCTGGAAATCTCGACACGTAGACTGATATTTGGGCAATAGTTTGGATTTATATTCCATCTTCTTTCTACTTTACAAATACTTGCTTTTCAGCAATACGCAGCTCTCTGGTTTTCATGTTGGCACCAAGAAAGCTTCTCAAACAAGTCCTCACAGAAAAACGGAAATGTGAAGCTATGCGGATACATTCACATGACTGGGTAGCTGTGGCTCAGTTGGTCTGGCCCTTTTGGTCATTGGCCGACCATTGGCAACCAGTCAAGGATAGACCCTTGACTGGTTGCCAGCCAGTCGCACGGCAAATACATTATAGACATACAACCATTCACACTCACAACTGGACAATTCAGTCATCAAACCCACGTGAAGAACATGCTAACTCCACATAAAAAGTTTTGTTTGGAACCCTGAGTGTCAAAGCTGTGAGGGAAACGAACTCATGACATGATAAATGATATGATAAAGTCCAGCAAAGGTATTGTTGTGTCTCACCATGACGAAAGAGTAGCCGATCCACAGAGAGTCCCAACCGTAAGGACATGGGGGGATCATAATTGTCTGACTGTGAACGGCAATCACCATGGCTGGAGCTTCGCACACCGCACACCTTTAAAAACAAGTGCATATGTGATGCAAGCGCTGTGATAGCACTTGAATAACTTGATGGACAGTATAAAGACACACCTGCTGATGAAGGGTTTGATGCTTTCACCGGTAATTGGCGCCATGCTCATGGGCATGGGCTCTGGCGAGGTGAGCCAGTAAGAGTAATCATTACGGGAGGCGAAGTTGCAGACATTGTTGATGTTGCAGAACAAGAAGGGCATCGGGCTGAACTTTCTTAGACAGCTTCCTGCCGTACCTGGAAACCCAAGGGATAAAATGTTCCTTTACAGAGCTCCTTCATCGGATGACTTCCGTATATTGTTTCCTCTGTAAGATTCCCACCGAGATCCTGTCCATGGGAGCGTTCATTGCCTTGCACGTAGAGCAACGAGTAACCATCATAGATGGGTGAGGTGCCCTCGGGGCAAAGTGGAACCTCCACTGTTTGGCTGTGCCGAGTCACCAGGAAACCATGATCCATAGAGGAGGGGCCGGGTGGTCCCACTTGGCCGGGAACACCATCAGGTCCCGGTGGGCCAGGATACCCTCTGGGTCCTAAAAATATGATTTGTTCACGGTTGTTTCTTTAAACGGGATATATCCTCACACACTGATTTTGTGGACATCTGACCTTGAGGCCCAGGCAGACCAGCATCGCCTTTGGATCCTGGCTGACCGTGATATCCAGGGAGGCCATCTTCTCCTTTTGGCCCTGAAATACCTGTTAGACCTGGAAAGAAAAAAAAAAAAAAAACAATAAAATGGAAGCAAAGTTTTTAAAGGGAGTAGGGAGGACTTGCAACAACTCGGGATGGTCATCAGACATCAGACATCAGACTCATTTCGCCTCAAGCTGTGATTAATAGAGTCAACAATCAATTGCACTCAAACAAGTGACTTCTTAAGAATCAACAGCAAGTTACCTTGCTGTCCTTTCTGCCCTGGGAACCCAGCTGGCCCCTGCGGTCCTGGTAAGCCTGTGATACCCGGTAGGCCAATGTCTCCTTTGATGAAGGTGTGTGGACCAGGGGGACCAGGTGGCCCAACATTACCTGAAATACAATGGAATATTGTTTAATGTTATGCAGATCTATCAAGACCTATAACTAGTGGCTTATACTGTATGTCCCGGGTGTCTCTCATCAGTTAGCCTATATTCCAGCATTACTCTAATACTGAATAGAGCAGTATGGAAAATGGACAAGCAGTGGATGACTCAACCTTATGTTGATTACCCTTTTCTCCTTGGAATCCTCTGTCTCCAAGTTCTCCTTTGAATCCAAAATCACCTTGAATACCCTTTGTACCTAGATTTCCATGATAACAACATCAGGAGAACAGATTTAGCACATGATGTCTTTCACTGATAAGACTAAGATGCATTTTTATCCACCTGGGAACCCGGGCACCCCCTGAAGTCCCCTCTCTCCTTTGGGACCATGAACACCTGGAAGACCAGCTGGCCCCTGTGGAACAAAAATACGCACATACTGAAGAACTTGCTCCAAGTTAAGTAACAATTTACTGCACATATAGCAATGGCTTTGTTGCATACGGGAAATCCCGGTGTTCCAGAGTCACCCTTTTGCCCTGACTCTCCCTGGAAACCGGGAAGACCCTGGTCTCCTTTGTCTCCCTTCTGGCCATCTCGTCCTGGCACACCAGCAGGTCCCGGAGCGCCAATGATCCCTGTAATATGAAGTAATTTGAAATTGCGTTTATTTATGGTACAATATAATCAGACTGTTCAGAAATCGTCCTTGTACATGGTAAATTGTTGTAAACTGCCATGTACCTGGTTCTCCAGGTTGTCCTATTTCTCCCTGGTTTCCTTTAGGGCCCTCGAGAGAGAATCCTGGGAGCCCGATTTCTCCGGGCTCACCTTGGCGTCCCGGAAAGCCAGGATGTCCCTTGTCACCTTTGATACCAGGCACACCAGGATAGCCCGGGCTGCCGGGGAAGCCGGGACTACCTCTATCACCTGGATATCAAGACAGCAGGAGACATTTTCACAATTTAGCTCACTTGAAATGGGTGAAATATTTAATTAGTAAGTGAGGTTAATCTCACCTTTGCTGCCTAGCTCCCCTGGGGGTCCTGGAATACTAAGACCAGGTAAACCTGCAAAACACAGTTTACTGAATAGTCAGTCATGCATTCTTACAGGTGTGGGATAGAAATGTATTTTTTGACTAGTACTGTAGTGTCTTGATCAAATCATGCAGAAAATTTGGAAAATGTTGAAAATTATCATCTGGAACCAACCAGGGTCTCCTCTCTCCCCTGAAGACCCAGGGATGCCATCAACACCCGCTTCTCCTTTCACTCCAGGTGGACCAGGGGGTCCTGGCAAACCACTCTCACCTGGTGGAAAACAAGTTCAAACTGGATTTGTTGCAGCACACAAAATCAGCAGAATCAACACAGTACTTACCTGGCCGACCATCCTGACCAGGTTCTCCTGCAGACCCTGGCAGCCCAGGGACACCCTTCTCTCCAGGTATTCCTGGCTGGCCTACATGGATTGTATGGTTACATATCGTGAATCATGCTGTCCATGGATCCTTGTGGATGAGTGCGACAACATAGCGTGAAATTTGACCTGGTGTGCCAAATATTCCTTTGTCTCCTTTAATTCCTTGCAATCCGGGCATGCCGGGCGTTCCCATGTGACCCTTGAGACCTTTCTCTCCTCGCGGTCCTGGGAATCCTGGTTGACCGGTTTGTCCCTAGGAGAGAAAGTCCAATAAATAAAGGCAGTCAAGCCTTTGAAACCAGTGAACATACTGCTGGTAAGGGTTTCCCAAACGCAGACCCAAAACTGGTCCTGGAACACTTCTTATTGGATCATTATAATGAATTGATATGTATATGTCTATGTTGGAGCAAGACTCAAAAAAAGGGAGTCTAAATTTTCAAGTCAAGATCAAGTCATTTGCACAACATAAAATAAGATTAATAAAGATAGAGGATTACTCTTTCTCCTGGAAATCCTGGGAGACCGATTCCTGGCTCACCAGGTGTTCCGCGTTCTCCTTTCTCTCCATCCGTTCCTCTAAAACCAGGATGGCCCGGTGTACCTAAATCTCCTTTAAGACCCTTTGGACCAACTGGACCTGCGTACAATAGGTAATTTTTTTTTTTTAAGTACTTTTCCAGTGTTCACGTTGTCACATTTACACCTCTGTTTGCATTTCGCCTTACCCGGTATTCCCATCTCGCCTGCACTTCCCTTTTGTCCAGGTGGGCCCATATGGCCAGGTTCTCCAGGAACACCAGTGTCTCCTTTCCTACCTGTGACACAGTGATCCAATACAAACAACATTTACCTGGAAATCCAAGTTCCTTCATTGAGGTGGATGAAATGCATTTGGTTCTCCCTTTGATGTTTTTCATTTTGGATATTTTTGTGATTGATTAAGCAGGACACCTGGCTGGCCGGGTAAACCAGGTTCTCCATTTTTTCCTGGCATTCCAGGGTCTCCAGGAAGTCCGCGAAAGCCTTTCTGTCCTGTTATTCCGGGGTTTCCTGATGAGGCAGACGTTGTTAAATTATATTGTATAGCACTTTACTATCTTGTGCATGAGAGTGAGACATGAATGAGCTTTGCTGTTTCATGGTTTCACACCTGGATCTCCAAGGTCTCCCTTCTCTCCTTTCATGTGCTCCATGTCAACTTTACTCATGTTCCCTGGAGGCCCCTGTAAACCCGTCTCCCCCCTTTCTCCTTTAAGTCCAGATGCTCCGTCTTGTCCTCGGAAACCAGGAAGACCAGGATCACCTAAGAATGAGACATTTAATGGGGGCCTTTGTCACAAAACTCGAACAGTAGGATCCTCAACCCGGATCTATTTATGTTGACAGAACTGGACGAACAGCAAACCAGAAGGAAACTGGATTATCCATGTACACTCACAAAATCAAAGGGCTATGTATTTTGGAATCATAAAAGTGCTTCAGCCATCTCCAGACCAACAACAGTCACCTCTCCTAGGAATGGCTTCATAGCTACAAATCATTTTCTGATAGCATTTTTCACAGAAACACTTGGATCAGACCGAAAAACTTGTAGACTGACCAACACAACCAAAAGGCCAAGCATTTCGGCAGGGAATCCAGATAATAATTGCAGTGACACCCCACTCACAGTCAGAAACTGACATGCTGATAAAAAGTAGGATTTATCTTTTGAGTTGATTCATTACCTCTCAAGCCTTGACTTCCTGGTAAACCTGGTGGTCCGGGAAATCCTGGCAATCCTGGCGTACCAATGACCCCCATTTCACCTTTTGTACCTGGCCGACAAAGAGACAGAATGAAATTACTATGACTCAAAAGAGTTCAAGAGAATTAGTTTCTCTAGAGAGAGAGAGAGAGAGAGAGAGAGAGAGAGAGAGAGAGAGAGAGAGAGAGAGAGAGAGAGAGAGAGAGAGAGAGAGAGAGAGAGAGAGAGAGAGAGAGAGAGAGAGAGAGAGAGAGAGAGAGAGAGAGAGAGAGAGAGAGAGAGAGAGAGAGAGAGAGAGAGAGAGAGAGAGAGAGAGAGAGAGAGAGAGAGAGAGAGAGAGAGAGAGAGAGAGAGAGAGAGAAAATCAACACTCTATCATTTTTCTGACCTTGGTCTCCTATCAGTCCATCCCTTCCTGGCAAGCCCGGTGCTCCTGGCAAACCTTTTACACCAGGGACGCCTGGTAACCCAGTGAGTCCTTTTTCTCCTTGAGGCCCTGGCATGCCAATGCCGGGAGGA